CAGATATTGTATGTGTCATTTATGTCAAGTCATGTGCAAAAGATGCCAAGTCAGATATTTTTTGTGTCATTTATGTCAAGTCACTTACAAAAGGCTTAAAATAATTTAAGACTTCAAGATGAATGGAAATCTAAAAATAAATATGTCTATGAGACATAAATAACTATTCTAACAAATTAAAAACAAAAATTGGAGAATATAAACGTTTTTTTCTTCTCCTGAAAAATCAGCATTTTTGACTTGACACGTTTCTCACAACGTCCGTCCACATATACTACCTACTTTTAGACTTAAAATATAACACAGAATAACTATAATAACAACCGTCCGTATGGAGTGTGGGGTGACCCGGTATACATACTACATATACATACGCTTTAGGCATAAATATTCTATATATATGCCTATATTATCAGAGAAATAGATATTAAATTGGTTATTGCTACAGGCAAAGAAAGTAATTCTACACAACTTAAATCATGGACAATAGTTCAGGGCTACTAATCAAATTAGTGCCGATAATAGGTATTATTTAGAACGACCCAAAATAAGGAGGTTTCTTTCATAGGTAGGTATGTGATTTGTTCGTTGTACACTTATTGTATATCGGGTATTGGATTCTTTGCCAGAGTTTAGGTAGTACTCTTTTGGAATCAATTTTAAGGAAGATGTCTTGTGGGAGGTCCGGGCGTTTTTGGGGTTTACTGGAGAATGTATACCTAATTTTATTATTGTAATTATTGTCATGAGATTAATGTTTTTTAGATCGGCTATTTCGCTTTCGATGACAACAGTTCCATCTTTGAAGAGTTCTTGGTAGAACTTCTTCCAATTTGTTTTTGTCGATGATGTTGGTGGTAGATTTAATACTGGAGCTGTGTGGATTTCTAATGATGTTGGTCATGGGTTAGGTAACATTTGGGGGTTTAACAAAGCTATGTTTAAGCTATTTGACCTGTGTTTGGTGTTTCCTGAAAAGCACAAATTACTTATTTGTTTTTTGGATTTCATATGAGCTTTTAAGGTGATGCCTAAAGTGTTATTATGATGACAGAGTCAGTTGATATTTGTTGCGTCTATGTCACCGGCGATTATGAATAGGCCCTTGTGCAGGTTGGTTAGTTAAGAAATCGAGATCGCTGATTTCAAGTTGTTTATTTGGGCTTTTTGTATATGGAAGATGTATATGAGTATTCCCTATTTTTATATTAACCGTTGTGGAGTGTACAAGGGTGTTCAGTTTGACTGATCGATGGGTTATTTTTCGGTGAATCAGAAACACTGTGCCTCCAGATGATTTCTAAGTAGGGGTGAGGGGCGATACGTGAAGTAGTTGGGAAGTATTAATTATTGATTAGGTTGAAGGTGAGTTTAAGTAACGTCCGTTTCATTTTAAATATTGAATACTTTTAATTATTTTTCTTCAACGTTAAACGCTAAATGTCTATAACGTTTTAGTTATAAATGACGATAAACTAAAAATTCGTACAATAATTTTATTATAATAGGAGATAAACATAAAAGTTGTGTAGTATGTTTTGATTCTAAAAAACGTAAAATATATTTTTTCAGCGGTGATAGTGGTGGTGGTGGTGGAGGTGGTTGCGACTAAATGAAAAACATCATACGGGCCGGTATACTTATTTTAAAGTCTCTCTTCTTCTATATCATATTAATTTGTTTAATATTATAAATTATTTTATTTATTATTATACTAACTTTTCCAAAATACTATAGATTCGAAATAGGATACATGAATTACTACAGTTCTACATTGTTTAGTAATACTAACTTTACAAAAGTAATAGCAAATGTTATTTTCGTATATTTTATAATTATATAACAATACTGTAAATGTAACATAAATATTATTATTAAAATATATTATTTATTTTAATATATATAAATATATTAACGTTTTAGGTGTAATTATGAATCCATAGTTTTGTTAATTTATATATTTTTATTTGTTTAAAAAATAAAATATTTTATTGAGTCTTAAAAATACCTTTGTTAATAACTTAGATGTGCACCTTTCCCATTGTCATTTGCAACCTACGTCCGTAAGTACATCCGTAACTGATGTAGTAGGAATTCTCATCACGGGTATTGGTTAATCAAGACACCAATTGATAACACTCTCGAACATTTTCCCGATCGTGTTCACCATGCTCAAGTAATTGTATAGAGAAATCTGTCATCGGTGACAATTCTTCAATGGTCAAAATATTAAGTGGACGTCTTTTGTTAACATCCTATTCTTGGAGCCAAACTATTAGCGTACCATCGCTAAATGTAAATTATTTTGTGCGGCGACGATGACCTTTCTCTATCAGCTTCTTCTTCATCCATACACCTCTTATTCCATTAATTGAGAATTTTTATAATTGTTATATTTATTTATTCTCTTTGTGATTTTGTCATATGAATTATTGGTCGGCCTGTTGCCTCAGATAGTATTATATTATCTTTCTTAAAACTCGAATTGTTTTCTTTATGCAGCCAACGCCCTATTATTTATTACTATTATTTATTATTATTAAAATGTTCATTTTTTTTTTGGTCCGCTATTAAAAAAACAATACTTTTTTATATTTTGTGATCCGCTAATATTTAGATCTGTATTATTTATTTTGTGATCAGCTAGTATAGAGACCGGTATTATTTATATGTGTGATTTTTCTTATACTTATAAATAACATATTATATTGTATACATTATCAATATTTGGTTTTCAAACGCTCATAACATTTTGACGTATGTTTATGCAAAATTTTTTTTTTAAACTCTTTTAAGGAAAACTTGATTAAAATAGTTGTATGAAAATCATAAAATACCCTTACATAACTATAGGTACCTACGTCAAATTAGGCGTTGTTCAATTGTTATCCATTTTTTGTTATTTTTCTAACAGATGGTTTAAATTAAAATTAAATACGAGTACAAACTAATATTAGGTTAGTTATATAGGTAAAGTTGGTAACTAAAATGAATGTGTTACATTTACAGACATAATATAAAGTTGATAACACTAAAAAAAAATATCTTGAAGTTCAAAGATGTATATTTTTATTATTATACATTAATACATTAATGAATAATTTGCTCTAATATTTTGCATAATATAGTTATGTCAATATAAAACTATTTAAATGAGTATAACTGAGTATACTACTAACTTCTTTACCTCTATATATCTACAGCACAAATAATTTGAATTTATATAATTGGACTATTTACCTAATTACCTGTAATATTTTTCTATAGTTTTGGAACTAAAAATGATTTGTACTATTAATTACTACAGTCTACAACATAATTTTACTTCAATACATTTTTAACAATAACCTAATACGTACTATTTTACTACACATTATATTATTATTTATTAATTACAAATATGTTATTGGGCGTGCCCGTGAATCGTATCTTTGTAATTCGTAAATCTTAGGTATATAAGTATTAAGTAAGATAAATACTAAAAGAAAGATAGAACTTTACAAATAATTCTAAAAAACTAAAAAGTATATGTGGTAGCAGCCACTAGGAGGTACCCCGTACACATACAAAATTATAACCTAAATTTAAATCTACGTAAACATATACTTACTAGAAAACTAATATTTAGATATTTAAGTAATATTAATTTAATTTATTGTTATAAATTAGGTATTATTTACTGTAATTACTATATTTACCTATGTAATACATCGCACTCCTAGAACAAGACTGTCACAACTCAAAATTTATAGTTTTGAGAAAAATCAATTTGAAGTTTGGACTTAAGATATTTTAATGAATTTTTTACTTATGCGTTTGAAATTTAACACTTAAATACTTACAACCATACTTTACAATATTAATTTTTCAAATATTTTGAAATTCACTCTTAAACCCAAAAATTTAGACTTGTGGCCATTTACAATTTTTTAAGTAAATGCAAGACTGCCATATTTTGAGATGCGACTATATGAGAATTTGGCGCAAAACGAAAAGCTATTCTATTATAAATACAATAGAGTCATAATTCGTCTTGTGGCTGCACTATCACAAATTATAAAATGCAATACTGCCACAACTCTAAATATTGCTGTTTTGCACTCAACATATTACACGATAATTAGTTTTTATTCAGTGCAAGAACGCCACAAGTCGAAATAAGGCAGTCTTGAATTTTGACTTCAGTGATAATTTGGATAAATAAAAATAAGTATACTGCCATAAAGTAAATATGGCTCTCTTGCATTGAAAATTAACCAATATTTAAATAATTCAATACAGACACATCTCTATAGTGGCTAAATGAAAAATGATATTGAATGTGGCGTTCTTGCATTTAAAAGAGCTTATTTTTCTCTATCCAAAAGTAGTCATAACTCAAAATTCATGAATTTTGAGTTGTGGCAGTCTTGTTTCTAGGAGTGCGACATATAAACCGTGTGCGTATTTCCCGATTCTAGTACGTTTCAGCGCGGGGGGGGGGGGCGGAGCCAAGACCTTCTGCATGATGTATTATATATGTTTTTACCGATCCTAATCTGAAAATTTTGAATAGCATAGTTGATTTTTTGTGGTACGCTTGTTAGCAAAATTCCCGAGCTCCGGCAGGCGTCATTCCTATATTAAAATTTTCAAAGAATTGATCTTTTGTTTTTTGGTTAACTCTTAAATAACTGTACGCCTCCCCAACACTAATTGAATGTTGATGTTCAAAATTAATCTATACGGAATAAAAATAAAGTAATTAGTAATTATTACCTATAATGGAAATACACTAATACCATGCATGTACCTACCTAAAATCGTATTATACATACTAATTGTATTATAATAATATATTAATTTATTAAGATTAACTATAACATTTTTTAGTTTGATTCAATATAATATTATGTCTCTTACCTTTATTTCAGTATTTAAGCCGTCTTTTAACAAATTATCATTTTTGATAGCATCTTTCGTAATTTTTTTGACCAAAATTGTAATAGTAGCATCACATTTTAGATTCTGATTTTCATTTCCAAGCTTTTTGATTTATTTTTTTCATTATGTTGACACTTGTATATTTTATTAAACAAAAATCTTTTGGGGTTTATAATTTTACGAGACACAATCCAGTTGGTCAACGTTTCTTCTGAAAACTTGTTAATCCAATCTTGAACTAATTTCGATAAATCATTATTAATATCAAAGACAGTCCCCAACACAGCATTGAAATGTTCACACGTTTTAACATCACAATTTAAAACAACACAAGATGTATCAAACTTAAACATTTGACTAACATCCATTTTTCCTATAATGAAGTATCTAATAAGTAATAATTAAGCATCCACATTTAACTTATAAATTAAAACTACCGCAATAAATAGGTATATATGCCACATAGAACGTTGTGAACACACTAACCGATATTTACAATTTTATCTAATTTGGGTACATTTTACAGACGAGTTTGATAGTTACAATGTGCACACAAATAATTGCTATCATAATCGTAATAAGCTTTTAAGATAAAATTTGGTAGAAAAAGGTTGTAATAATACTACTACATATAAAGCAATACCTATAGTACCTAGTACCTACCTAGCCATAACTATTAATAATGATACCATCATTTTGAGTTGAAAGAAACATTATGAGATAACTTAACAATACAATTTATATTAGGTAATTCCACAGCGTAATATAACAACACTGTATGTAACACGTTAACATACATTATTATAATATACATTATATTTAATAGGTATATAGTCATGTACGATGTACCTAACCACACCGCTCAGCCTGATTAAAAATATTTAACTGATATTGTTATTAGTAATACTTATATTATGACTATAATATAATGTGACGAACACAGTAATAAAAACAGAAATATGTATTTATTGTTAATTTTTTTAAAAATTACGAACCCTATGTGGGTTCAGCACATCGCGCTGAATCAGATTAGGATCGGTAAAAACATATATACATATATACATCATGCAGAAAGGTCTTGGCTCCGCCCCCCGCGCTGAAACGTACTAGGATCGGGAAATACGCAAACCGTGTAGGTACACGCGGATATTTAAAAATATTATAGTGGCATAAAGCCATATTATACGTGTGTTCGAACACGGACGCGTTTTCTCGCCACTGTAGTTTCGGCATATGTCCCCAAAGCTGCGTCTCGGATGCCGAAGCTCACGAGGTGGCTTACCCCCTCCTCGGCCGTCTAGCGCCGGCCCGTTCGCCACCGTAGGCTGTGCCGCCTCCTAGTCGTGTGTCTTTTCCAGGCGGTCGAGCCCGACGCATCGTTGCGTTCGCTCGCCGCGTTTCACTGGGTTTTGGCGACCAAACCACGTGTACCTACAACCGACGCGTTTCTATGTTAAGTCGTCGCGTTGTTAAACCTCGTGGTTTGTGTCACCGGTATATCATTGCGTGCCGCCGCTTATACCTTTGCGTGCCTTTGTGCCGCCACTGGCTTGTTGCCCATCCATCAACATCCATCAAGCAGAGCGATCATCGACGGTGGACCAGGTCAAAAAGCTTATCATAACGTTGTAATTGATTTAAGTGTATTGTTTGTTTTGGGGCACCCTGTCTGTTAGTATCTTATAATATCTTGTTTGATGTACCTAAGTTGTTGTTACCTATTATAATTATTAAGCGCTTAGCGCACTTACATAAGCATAAGAGTTATACATAAGCGGTATTTCTGTTTTATAATATTGAGTCACCTTGTCCTAACTCAACTCACCGCAAGTCGTTGCCGCAAACCGCGATAGAAAAGTAGGTGCGGCGCGGCGAACAAACAACGTGTATGAATTTGCCGGGTCCACACAGAGACGACACAGAAACAAAACAAAAACAAAACACAAACCCTTCTTTTTGAAGTTTGAAAAAAATAAAACACAAACAAAACATGTGTCCATACTGAGTTGAGTAAAAATTAAACAAAACATGAACAAAATTCAAACATTTGTTTGTGTTTTGTTTTTGTTTTCAACTATCCATACAGAAATATAAACTCATCGTTTTATTTCGTTCATTCGTGGTCATTCAGTCTGTCTTCAGAGTTCAAGCTGTCTAAACTCTCCGTAGGTACTTATAAGTTTTTTAATTTTTTTTACTGTGAGTGAAAATGTGGAAATTGAAAAGAGATATTGAAGACGATGAAGATTTACTAATGTTGGGTGCTGGGTATATTTACCTACAGTTACAAAGAAAAAAAAATAATAATAAGATTAAAAGACGTTTTTGGGTAAGACCAACTTTACAAAAAAGAAATTTGTTTGGTGTCGATGAACTTCTAAAGAATTTACAAGATGATGATATTGGTTTGAATGGAGAATTGCGATCTAGCTTTAAAAACTTTTTGAGGATGTCAACTGAAGATTTCGAAAACCTAATATGTCTCATCGGTCCAGCAGTCCACAAACAAAATACTAATTGGAGAACTGCTATTAGTGTGACTGAGCGTTTAGCTTTGACTTTAAGGTTCTTGGCAACGGGAGACTCTTACCATAGTATGATGTATCAATTTAAAATATCTACTCAGGCAATATCACTTATAGTTCCGGAAGTTTGTGAAGCAATAGTCAATGCTCTTTCGGAGTATATTAAGGTAAGCACATACATAAATAAATTATTAAAATAAATCTATTGTAAGTGTTTTTTTTTTTACAAATAAATATCTGTATTTGTTGTAATTTAAGTAGGTAGGTACTGAAAAATATTTAATATGAGAATAATAATAAATTAACTTAAAAAGAGTCAAATTATTTTCAAAATTGTATGGTGTATAGAAAATACTAATATAAACATTCAGTGAAATTTTCAAGTATCCACAGTCATTCGTTTTTTAATTACAACAAAATAAGAAAACGAGTGAATATCAAATGTTGTAAAAATATGAATTTCAAACGCTTATAAAAATTTAATTTGAGTTTCTTGTAGACATTTTTTTTTTTTTTATAAAGGTAGACAAACTTATGAAGAATCTTGTATTATATTTTCAAATCTTAGATTTAAAAAGAAAATTTTTTATGAATTTCTGCTCGAAATAATTTGCAAATTTTCGTCATTTTTACGTATTTTGTCAATATTTGAAATGCTTATAAAAAAAAAAACTGTGAATATGGATTTTTAATTTTTTTCATCTGCCTTTGAAACAATATACTAGGAGACTTATATTAAATTTTCAAGCTTTTTTAACAAACAAATAAAATTTTATTGATATTTATAGAAAAAAAAAAACTGAAAAAAAAAGAAACTGAAAATTTCGACAAAGAGCTCAAAATAAGTCAAAATATTTGGAAAATGTTATGGTTTATAGAAAATGCTAATATAAACATTCAGTCGAAATTCCATGTACCTACGGTAATTTGTTTAAGAGTTACACCAAAAACCAAAATCGATTTTCTTCAAAAACAGATTTTGTGTAAAAATTCCCGTTTTTCCTTAATTTTTCTTTTGTTTTTCACGGCGCTTTTGAAAACTACTGGGAAATTTTTACTTTTGACCCCCCAAAGTACCAACTAGATTCACTTTCCTATCAAAAAAGATTTAAGCATTTTTACTGTTCTAAAACGTGATGACAGACACAAAAAAATTAAAAAATTAAAAAATTAAAAAAATACAAAAAAAACACACATTATTATAAAATCAATACATTCATCGTTACACTCAAAATCTAAAATTCAACTTTTATTGCTATGAATTGAAAATTTTAAACCAGGTTTCACGTAAGTAGTTTATTCTATAACCAAAAAATCTCAAAAAATTTAAAAAATACTGCTTTTTTATAATTAGTTTATGTTCAATTTTGGACGAAATTAGATATAAATTTCAAAGAATGACGATTTTAGTTATTTTGTTTTATTTTTATAATTTTAATTCAACTTACCGGCTACCACAATTAATATTAAGTAATAACAATATAAATATATGTATTATACAATATCCCGACTGACAAACCGTCACTATCCTCAGAATCATTTTTCGTATACAATGATATTATATTATCATTGAATTCAAACGTAATACCATCAATTATACAGAGACCCACTTTTAATCTACTGTACAGTGTAAGTACAGCAGAGCGACATCCACTTACCTGCTTTTTTAATTTCGCTTTTCTTTAAGTATACTTTTTACTCGTCGTAAATAAAATAAAATAAGTAACTATACAATTGTGGATAACTGAATAGATTTTTATTAAAAAAATTGAAAAAAAAAAATAATACTTTTATAATGATATTCAAATAAAATAAAAATAAATCAAAAAATCTAAAATAAAAATTAGAAACTTTTACAAAATATAAAATATGTTGTTCAAAATATAAAACAAAACACATCAAAATGAATAATATTTTTTTGTTTCTATATCATTTATTTAAATGGATTTCCTCTTCCATTCACCATAGTTCTACTTCTACAGTTGGATCGGTCACATTTTGGACACTTGGAGGATTAGAGCAGGGAATTGTTGACGCAGATGAAGATTCATCGTGATAGTAGTTTCCGTTAGCCGCAGAAGTCACAGTCTGGATACTAGACGTCGAAGCTGCAGCAGATCCATCGATATAGTTGTAGTTTGTAGGAACTTCGAATGTTTGTGGCGGAAAATCATACTTTCCCAACTCGCCGTCGTATAAAAGATTATTAATTAAATGTTGAATTGTACATTGTGCATAATGCGTACGAAGACCGCGTACTTTGCGTGCCACTACATCACCAAACGCGTCAAAATCATCAATTTGGCTGCGTTCTGTGCGACTTTCATTTATGGATTTCATCATTTCAAAAACCTCTTGAGTTCTATCTTCATTTTCATGAAATTTTGATGATCCAGGCGTCCGTTTTTTTTGCGATACTTTCAAATTTTTAGGGGTTGTCATTTGAGATAATTCTACAGAGTTCGAAACATTACTTTCGGCACTTTGTACATCGTTTATAGTATTTTCATTTATTTTATGTTCCTTAAAAACATGCTCATCAACTGCTACAGATTTTGTGCTACAAATTTCAATGTTATCCTCACATTCTTCGTCACTTGAACTGTCACTTATCTACATTAAAAATATTAAATTTAATTTCTATTTGAGATTCATGATATTGTAATTTGTAAATATATTTATGCAATAGCATAAAACCACGAACTCGCTCTTCTGTATACAGTAGATACGTGTCGAGTGGAACTCGGTCATATGGTATCTATAGGTCACTATAATGTATGTGCTGTGTTGGAAAGTACTTGCATTACTAGTAAAAGTATTTGAGTAAAAGTATTCAAATACAG